TAAAGGATATTTTTGCCATTCAACATGATATTAATCCCTAGCACAACTCTTCCAAATTTAGTAGTCATCCTGCTCTAACAGCCTCCCGCTACTTGCCAGTCTTCTATACCATTTCTACTCTATCAATGATGCTTACTTCATCTTCTAACCATGATCTTCATGTAACCAAATCAACACACACACACACACACACACATATTATTTAAACAATCTAGATTATATACATGTGTATGATACTCAAACGAGTTTCAGCGAAAGACTTATAAATAGCTTTCGCCATGGCTCAGTTGATTTGTTGTAGAACTTGATCTGAATGATAAGAAGCTGTGAATCCAAGAACACTATTAGAGAAACAATACAGGGAATCTTCCAGCTGGTGATTAGGCACAGTGATGGTGATTGGAATGTAGCCATCACCAATGGGGAACCCTCAGAGAGTGAGCAGAGAAAAGATTAGGGTTTAGCTCTAAACTCAGTATGCCGTATGTTATTTTTCACCATCAAAAAATTAACTTTAATTAACCGAGTCAATTACCTACCTTGGACTGGGTCCAAAATGACTACGGGCCACACTCAAGATATTTATTAATTATCCAAATAATATCTAAATAGTTATAATAATAATAATAATAATAATAATAATAATAATAATAATAATAATAATAATAAATATCTCACATTCTCCCACTTAGCTTGTATACTCAATGTCATTACCTTGTCAAGGTTAACTAAGTTCATACTACAAGAATCATGGCGATAAGTCCTCTTTTATTGAGTATTACCTTCCATGTATTACAGGTACCATCCTTACTTAATGGGTATCACTTTATAAATAAACTCAATGTTTATTCGGTTCCTGACTTAATGTTTATCAATTTCAATATCACAAATGTATACAATCATAAACTAGAAATGATAAACCATAAATTTGATTTCATTGCTCATACCTCAACTAGTCAAATGAAGGATGAAGTCCCATGTGAGGTATATGTGAAATGAAAATGTTTGGTTTCAACCCTTTTGTCAAAGGATAAGCTAGTATATCATTTGTACTGATGTGTTCAACAGAAACTTAGCCTTCCTGAACTCTTTCTCTCAGGCATAGGAATTTAAGTTCGACAAATTTGCTTCAACTTTTATTCCTTTTGTTATTTGCTATGGCCACCACAGCTGTGTTATCACGATACATTCTGATTGGCCTAGAGATTGAATCCACAATCTTGAGCCCAACAATGAAATTCTTTATCTAGATTGCTTGTGAACTTGCCTCAAAACATGCAATATACTCAACATCATCGGTAGAAGGAGCTGTTAGTGTTTGCTTTACACTTTTCTGTGATATAGCTCCTTCTGCTAATAGGAAGATGTAATCGATTGTAGATTTATTTGTATTTACACATCCTCCAAGATCAGAATCTGAGTACCTAATTACTTCCAAATTGTCTGTTCTTCTATACGTGAGCATGTAGTGTTTAGTACCTTGTAGGTACTTGAACACCTTCTTTGTAGCTGTCAATGTGCTTCCCTAGGATCACTTTGATATCTCCCTAACATACCCATAGCAAAAGCAATGTCAGGTCTTGTGCAAATCTATGCATACATCAAGTTTCCTTACTGCTGAGGCACATGGGACCTTTTCCATCTGTTTCCTTTTAAGCTCGATTTTGGGACACTAATCTGAACTAAATTTATCTCCCTTTTCAATAGGAGCTATGTTAGATGAACAGTTCTTTATTTTGAATCGTTCAAGAATCTTGTCAATGTAAGCTTCTTGAGATAAACCTATAAGATCTTGGGTTCTATCTCTATGGATCTTCATGCCAATGACATAAGATGCCTCACCCATGTCTTTTATGTTAAAACTCTTGAACAGAAACTGTTTCACCTCACACAATAGTCCCAGATCATTTGTAGCAAGCAAAATGTCATCCACCTATAGAATCAAGAATATGATCTTACTGCCACTAGCCTTGTGGTATATATAGTCATCCATGATGTTCTCAACAAAACCAAATGATGTGATCACTTCATGAAACTTTAAGTACCACTGTCGTGAAGCCTGTTTTAGACCATATATTGACTTCTTTAGCTTGCATACCAACTGCTCTTTACCTTCTGCAATGAATTCCTCAGGTTGCTTCATATAGACTTCTTCCTCTAGTTCACTATTGAAGAATACAGTCTTCACATCCATTTGGTGCAACTCTAGATCAAATGTGCAACCAATACTGTGATGATGTGAAATGAATCTTTCTTAGATATAGGTGAAAATGTTTCCCTGTAGTCCATTCCTTCTACTTGTGTGAAGCCCTTAGCAACCAACTAGCCTTGTATATATCAATATTGCCTTGTGAGTCTCTTTTGGTTTTATAAACCCATTTACTGCCAATAGCCTTAGATCCACTGGGCAACTCTATAAGTTCCCAAACATGATGATGCTATGATTGATGATTCATTTCATTAATCAGAGCATCATGCCACAATTTAGAGTTCACACTCTTTATGGCCCGAGTAAACATCAATGGATCATTTTCAACAATTACATCACAGTCAACTTTAGCAGAGTACATTATGTAGTCACTAGGTAATATTGGTCTTCTTTCTCTAATTGACCTCCTTAATTCAACCTCTTGGGTTGATTCAGGCTGCTGACTAGGAACATCCTCTATCGCATTTTGTGGGGGTTCCACTTATGTGACAGTTTGATCAGCTTGTATGTGTTCCTCTTGTCTAGCATTGTCAACTTGAGCTCCAAGATTCACATCATGTTCAATATCAACTCCAACAGTAGGAGAATCATTAACTATTGATGTTCCCTTATAATTGATGTTAGTGGTTTGCTCTATGTGATTATCTTACGAACAATCACTCCTACTAATCACATTATTCTTAAGAAATTTGGCATTCCCAGATTCTACAAATCTTTTAGAAGGTGGAGGACAATAAAACTTATGACCCTTTGACCTTTCCACACAGCCTACAAAGTAAGCTCTAATGGTCTTAGGGTCTAGTTTCTTTTCTTGTGGATTGTACACTCTTACTTCAGCAGGATAAACCCATACCTTGAAATGATTTAAAATGGGTTTCCAACCTTTTCAGATTTCAAAGGGTGTTTTAGACATTACCTTTGTTGGAACCCTGTTTAATGTATGTGGCTGTCTTGAGCACTTCCTCCCATATGGAAGTTGGAAGTTTAGAGCTACTCAATATGCTCTTAAACATATCCAACAAGGTCTTATCTCTTCTTTCAGCTACACTATTCATATTAGGTGAGCCAGGCATGGTATATTAAGCTATTATACCTTGCTCTCGAAGAATATCAGCAAATGGACCAGGTGCTTGTCCTTCAATAGTGTACTTGCCATGCTACTCACCACCTCGATCTGATCTCACAATCTTGATTGGTTTCCCAATTTGTTTTTCTACTTCTGCTTTATATTCCTTAAAGGCATCTAGTGCCTCACTTTTATTATAAAGCATATAGACATACATGTATTGTGAGTAATCATCAATAAAGGTGATAAAGTATTTTTGACCATATGCAGTCAAATCAGGGCAACAAATATCCGTGTGTATAATTTCTAGCAATTTAGAACTTCTCTTAGCCCCTTTATGTGACTTGTTGGTCTACTTTCCTCTTATGCAGTCCACACAAGAATCAAATTCTGAATGGTCTAAAGATGAAAGAATTCAATCTTTACTTAACCTTTTAATTCTTTCATCGGAGATATGTTCCAATCTTCTATGCTACAGGCTAATAGAATTCTCATCAATGACACTTCTTTTAATACGATGCGTAATAGAAAAAGATTGCAGTGAATCAGAAACAATTTTAAATAAACCATTAATCATAACCAAGTTTGCAATCAAAACAGAGTCTTTTGACAAAGTCATAAATTTCTTAAAAAGAATTAAATGTTAATAAAACGGAATCAGTTTTGACATGGAAATCAAATTCCTCTGGTAAGAGGGAACATAAAAAACTTCATAAAGGTCCAAAACATGATTATTTGAAAAAATTATGCAAAAAGTCTCAACAGTTTTTACAGACTCTCCTTTCCCACTACCTGAAAGGACCGTTTCCTAATTGAGATGTGGAGGCTTGCTTGTTAGAAAGCCCTACATGGTTGTTGAGATGTGGATCATTGAACCAGTGTCAATCCACCAAGTGTCATTATTAAAGCTAGAAAAATTAGATTCCAAAGCAACACATGATGTAACCATACCTCTTTTTTCCTGCCATGCCTTTCTTTTAAGGCATTCCCTCTTCATGTGCCCCGTTTTCTTACAAAAGAAGCACTTTGAGTCCTTCTTTCTAATAGCTAAAGCAACAGGGATTTGATCATTTTCCTTTTCTTTCCTTTTGTTGCCAGCCTTAGAACTATTAGCCATATATTTTTATTTGGTTGTATTGGAAACTTTCCCTTCGTCAGCAATCTAGTCTCCTCTTGAACACACTTAGCTACAAGTTCATCTATTGTCCATTTATCTTTTTGTGTGTTAAAGGAGATTTTGAGAGCTTCATACTAATGGGGAAGCGAATTCAGAATCAATCATACCAAGAATGGCTCAGTGAAGGACTCAAACTGGGAGGCAAGGTTTTTCATATTCAGAATGTGTTCCTTGATTCCACCAATACCTGCAAGTTTCATGGTGCACAATTTAGACATGAATGTTTATCCATCCTGCTCATTTGAAGGATTGAATCATCTATCCAATTCCTGCATATATTCATTAGTAATGTGACATTCAGGAATGGCTCCCTAAATGCTTTTGTAGATCCTTGTCTTAATCAGTAAGAGGGCTAAGCTGTTAGATTTATGCCGGTGATCATAGATGTCTCTAGCTTCTCGATTATTTGGATCATCTTTAGGTTTTGGGGGTTCGTCAACCCTCAAAGCATAATCATGATCCATGCTTATAAGCTGTAAAAAGACATTTTTCTTCCAACTTAGATAGTTAGAACCATCCAAGAGTCCTATGTTACCTATATCAGGAACAAATTCAAAGGTAGCAATTAGAACTACAAATCAAAACAAACAAGCTCACAAGTTAGAATTTGAGACAATCATAATTCACTGTGCCATGTATGCATGCCTAAATGAATAAAGCATATAAGTAATAAATACGTATAACCAATGTCTACCTATGGGCAAAGACATTAGCATAGCATGTATTTATCTCAAATTGATAAAACTAGAATGCATTTATATTTCCTAATACCTATAGGCTACTTAGAAAATAACAAAGCCATTTTATCCCAACCTAATTAAATATGCAATTATGAGATATCTACCTGTGGGCAAAGATATATCATAATTACACATTTAATTACAATTGATATTTCAAATCCATATGTGATTAATTAGTACATGAAACACAATTAAGGTTGTTGTGGCTACTCCTTAGAAAATGCATGCTAATCACAAATATCACAAATGTGTATTTAAATTTCAAATATGCATAACTCAATGGAGAATTTAACAAATTAATTTAATCAACAAAAGTGACTAAATAATTTAATTTAAATTCTCCCACTATTTCATGCATATAAAAAAATGTTTAATAAATTAATTTCAATACATTTCAACTGAAAAGAGTTTTACAAAATTCAAATAGTTAATTTAATTGCCCAAAAACATTATCCTAAATAGGTAATTAAATAACAAAACAAATTAATTTTTGTAAACATTTTCCAAATGTCAAAATGTTGAAGAAATTATAGTGCATAAAATAACATTCAAAGACACATATTACAAAACAAAATTAATTTATTTTGTGTAAACATATTCTGAAAAATCAAATTAAATGGCTAAAAATAATTTTATGGAAATAAAACCAAATAGCCCATACTTAAAAGTCCAAACAGAGCCCAAAATAAGCAATCTAGAAGCAAAACAAAGGTGTTCAGGCCCAAAACGAAAGTCCAAAAGATAAACAAAGATAAAAACTTAATTTTCTGTACAAAAAGCCCAATACGAGGCCCAAAAGAGTTACTATTATGACACTGTGCAAAACAATTGTTTTTTTTATTTCAGCAAATGTGGCCCAAAAGAAAAACCTAGACTGTAAAAAAATAATTTTTTGTGTGTGCAGAAGCCCAAAACTTTTGGTCTTGTCCAAAACTAAATAAAACAAATTAAAAAAACAAAGAAGCCCAATGGATTATTGCCCAAAGCGTGCCTGGCTCAAACTCTAAATAGGTGAAACGGTGCTTTTCACTATAGGCTGAAATTAGGGGTGTTCAATTTGTCCCGTCCCGGTCCCGGTGAGTTCGGGACGGGACGGGATGCGGGACGGGGTTGTCCCGTCCCGTCTCGTCCCGGAATTTTTTTTTTCTTTTAAAAATTATTATTAGATTATTCAATTTACTTATTAATAATAACTCTTATTTTTATGGTGATTTGTAGCTCTTAAGTTGTAGTATTATCTCAACAAAATCTCCTTCCTCAATAAAATAATTCATAAAGTCATTATATAGTGTTTTTTTTACGGTATTTTTTTTACACTATTATTTTTACACCTTTTTTATACTATATAATTAAGCTTTCTACATAATATTTTTTTATAATGTTTTTATCTTTAAAAGCCCAATAAAAAATAAGTTTTATAGCATAAAAAAATTCATATAAAAAATTATGGTATCTGTTTTTTTTTAAAAAAAGGGGGAAGCAGGACGTCCTGGTCCCATCCCGGTACCGACGGGACCGGGACAGGACCGGGACGGGACGGGACACGGGACAAAATACCTGTCCCGTCCCCGTCCCAGTCCCGTCCCGTCCCATGAACACCCTTAGCTGAAATGATACCATTTCAACACGAATAGAGGACTCTGGAGATGCTGCAAAACGGCATCGTTTGGCCCTGGCTTGTCTTCCACATGGAGTCAGGTAAAGTTAGCGACCCGTTTTGCAAGTCCTTCATGGCCACCGGTGCTATCATAGTCCTGCCATTTTTTTTTTGATGACCAGTTGCCTTTTTTATGTGATAAGGACGCCGTTCTGCGTCGTTTCTCTGATACAATGCTCATAGGACAGTAATAAACAAATTCAAACAAATCTTAATCAAACTTTTTGAGCCAATGAAAAACAAGATTTTGATTTTGATGAACAATAGCAATTGTAAAATCGGGACCTCTATGGATGATAAGGTCAGTGACAAGTTCATCAGAGGGATAAATTTCATCTCCTTCTGTCGCATTAACTCGAACTGAAACTTAAACAATAAAAAATATGAATAACACAATGCATCTTTGATTTTGGCTACGACACCGACGGCGACAATGCTTATTTCTTTCCCATTCAAAGCTCAAAATTTTCACAGATTTAGTAAAAAATTGAAACTCAATGTAGCCTTGAATATAAAACGAATTATGATTGGAGCTTTAAAATCTTGAAGATGGTGATGTTCATAGGAAAATCAAAATTATTTTTCCTCGACCCCAATAATTTGAAAATCATAAAAAAAAAAAAATTCAGATCAAAAGTCAAATTAACCAAATCAAAAAATATGCTCTCAAAATGATTAAAAAATTTTCAAAGTAGAAAGTTAAACAAATTCAAATGAGCATCAGAAAAGAGTAAGACAAGGTGAATCAAGAAACCAGGCTCTAATGCCACATGTAAGCAAATCAACACATATATTATTTAAGCAATCTAGATTATATACATGTCTATGATACTCAAAAGAGTTTTAGCGGAAGACTTATAAATACCTCTCACCATTAGCTCAGTTGATTTGTTGTAGAACTTGATCTGAATGATAAGAAGCTATGAATCCAAGAACACCATTAGAGAAACAATACTGGGAATCTTCTGGCTGGTGATTGGACATAGTGATGGCAATTGGAATGTAGCTGTCACTAGTAGGAAAGCCTCAGAGAGTGAGTAGAGAAGAGATTAGGGTTTCGCTCTAGACTCAGTATACCGTATGTTATTTTTCACCATCAGAAAATTAACTTTAATTAACTGAGTCAATTACCCACCTTGGACTGGACCCAAAATGACTACAGGCCACACTCAGGATATTTATTAATTATCCTAATAATATCTAAATAGTTATAATAATAATAATAATAAATATCTCACACTTCATTCAAATTTATCCCCATGCATCCCTTTCTATTATCTTCTTAATTAAATCCTGGTAATGGTGTTCTTTTTTTTAAAAACTAATACAAGGGAAAAGAAAATAGCACTACTATCTTTTCAGAAGCTCTTTGATAAACTCCTGGACTGACTCCAAGCCAATGTTTTGGAGCGCAGCCTAACTCTATTGTTGAGAGCATTATAGTCATCGCGTCTGCCATTTGATTTTCTTGCTTAGTAATAGTATTCTACCATTGATTTTCTAGCTTAAACTGCATTGTTTCAGAATAGATCCCTCATCATCTACATAATCCTGAGATTTTCACACAAATGTATCATCTTCACGATGATTGTAGAAACATGAATATTTTCCTATCAACTCCTTACAAAACAATGTTAACTGGAAAATCCAACATTGCATTTTCTACGGCACTTTTGCAAAGAATCATCTTTAGGCTGAACTCATTCAACAAAAGCATTGGTAAGCACTCCCTTATATATTTGGCTATTATTTGTGATGTGTTTTGTAGGTTCTTTGTGATGTGGTCGAGCTTTATAATTTTTAACTTCACCAATGCTTTGACTGTTTTTATGTTTTTATTGCTGTCATGGGTTGTTTTCCTTTTTAATAAACTATAAAGAAGGGATAGTGATATGTGTCTCTAAAATTTTAAGTAATGAATTATCTGCAATCATTTTTTACTATGACATTCTATTTTGAAAAATAATAATCTATCTTATCTATTATACAACTAAACAATTAAATAAATCCCATTAAAATCTTTTCACCGCCCTTGACTAACTTGGAAATCATGCCCTGTATCTTATCCATATTTGATTGTACTTGATGGAGAATTTGCATGATTTTCTGTCTATGTGAACAAGTGTGCGTATTGATTGACACTTGAGCAATATAACTACACGAATCTAAAAAATTTCCAATAAGATGAGTGCATCTAGACTATTACACATGTAGTTAAATCAAATAGTAAATATGCTAGACAAATGACGTTTATTAGGTCAAATTAAGCATATGATAGTAGTGGTAAATGATGAAGGAAACAAGGAAAATTTTCATACAAGACAAGCCATTAATGCTGACAAGGAATTTATGCCCAATTTTTTTAAAAATTATATTGACTCATCTTTTGCTTCTTTATTTGATATGAGATTTTCTTTTAATATATATTTTTGTTTATGTCAGGTTATTGGGATATTAAGAACAACTATGAAAAGGAATATGATTAACAGACAAGAAAATCCAATGCATGAGAAGGAACAAAGAGTTGAAGAGGATGAGTTAAACAACCAAACTTATTTGAATGGATGTGAATTTTTTGATAGTGATGATGAGCAGGTGGATTTATTTTTTGAGGATCTTGATGGAGGAATAGAGGTAGAAGTTAATCAATGGTGGCATGATAACCAATCAGGGGAATCCACAAGTAGGGGTACGAGGAATGAAAATGCACAAAGCAGACCAAAAGTCAATAATGCCACCCTAATACCTATGGAAGTCAATGAATATGGATGCGATTGGGATGGACAAGTGCAGTCTAATTATGAGGATAGTGAGGAGTTGGCAAGTCCAAATGAATCAGACAATGAAGGCTAACAAATAGAAAGATGATCATATAGTGAGTTTAATAAGAAGATAGATTTTAAAAGACCTATCAATCTTCAAGTTGGTATGAAGTTTGCAAACTTCACAGTTTATAGGTAAGCATTAAAGCAATATGCCGTTGAGGATGGCATTGAGTTCAAGTATATAAAAAATGAAACATCATGAATTAGGGTGAAGTGTAAGCACAATTGTGGATGGGTTATACATGCATCAAAGACTCATGCTAGAGATGCATTTCAAATTAAGTCATTCTATCAAAAAGATCACAATTATGGTTGGGAAAGAGAAAATAAATAGGTGAGCACAAGTTGGTTGTCAAATAGGTACATTGATTACATTAGGGATCAACCAAATTAGAGAGCAACAACATTTTCAAATCAAGTGCGAAGTGATCATAATGTTGAGATTTCAAAATTTCAAGCATATCGAGCAAAAAGAATGGCATTAGAAGTTTCTTGTACGTCATGATGCAGAGCAATTTGCCTAAATATATGCATATTGTGGAGCAATAATGAAACTTAACCCAGGAAGTACAATGAGGGTCAAGGCATAAGGATCTATATTTAAGCGACCATATATGTGTTTTGATGCATGTAAATAGGGGTTTGTAGTAGCATGTCGACCAATTATATGTGTAGATGGTTGTTTCTTGAAAGGTAGTTTTGGAGGACACCTTTTATCTACAGCTGGAAAAGATACAAATGAGAACATGAATCTAATTGTAAGGATAGTTCGAATTGGTTCATAACCTTACTATTTGAGGATATTGGCTCATACCATGACAAAAGATGGGTTATGATGTCAGATATGCAAAAGGTATAATGTGTATAGATATATTTAATGTAGTTCTATTTTTTTTACTACTAATAATTGATACTTGTTTAATATTTATAGATATTTTTAATTAATTTATAAGGGTTGCAAGAGGTGCTTAAGGCGATGGAACGTGAGCATAGGTTTTGTTTTAGGCATTTATATGCCAATTTCAAGCTTAAGTATAAGGGAAAGAATTTGAAATATGAGCTCTAGAATGCATGTAGGGCAACAACTAAACAAGAATTCAACCATCATATGAAATGACTAAAGGAGCTTGACTCTAATGCTGCTAATTAGCTGGATAAGTATGACCCAAGGCTTTGGAGTAAGCATGCATTCTCACAATAAATGCTAAATGTGACATTGTACAAAACAATATTGCAGAGACATTCAACTCTTTTATATTGGTTGCAAGAGACAAGGCAATCATCACAATGTGTGAAATAACTAGAAGAATGCTAATTAAAACAATGGTTGCAAAGAGAGAGGGCGTGAAGAGATCTCAAAATGCAATATGTCCTAGAATCATGGATAAACTTCAAAGAGCAAAAAATGACTTGAAGAATTATATTTGTTACATGATTGGTGATAGGAGGTTTGAGATAGAGAGTCCATAGAAGAGGGAGGTGGTAGATCTTAAGATGATGACTTGTACATGTATGGCTTGGGATTTGACTGGCATCCCTTATGGACATGATGTGGCTGCAATTTATCAAATGAGAGGGATACCTGAAGATTATGTTTCTACATATTATAGTAAAGATTCATTCATGAGAGCTTATGCTTTAGCAGTAGGTGCAATGCCAAGTGAAGAACATTGGCCACAATCAAAAGTAGTTTCCTTACAGCCACCAAAGTATAATAGGGCACCTGAAAGGCCAAGAAAAGCAAGGAAGAAAGCTCCATATCAGCAACAAAGCCCATCAAAGATAAGCAAAAAGGGGGCTACCACAAAGTTTGGTAATTGTAGAAAAATGGGTCACAATGCACAGGGTTGTAAGGCTCCTCCTACTCCCAACAGAAAGGTGTACAAGAAGAAGAAGAAGAATGTTGCATCAAGACAAAATGAATAGACAATTGTATTTTCTTTAATTATAAGATTTAATTTAGTTTATACGTATACTAAGTAGAATAATAACTTTTCTCTTTTGTTATTTATGCAGGATACCCAACCTCCTAACACTCAAGACTCTAGCTCATTCTTACCATGCACTCCTACAGTTTGTTTCTGTGTTTATTGTTTTTTTTTTGTTAACCTTATTATGCAATGTTAGATTTAGAGTAATGGATATTTCCTTGTCATCCATGTAGGGCAGTCAACCCCTACTTTCCCAAGTCTCAACAGCTAAATGAAGTCAACTACGTGGTTTTTGATAATTTTATCCTATGTTACTTCAAATTTTGACATCATTAATTTTTTCAGTTGATATTCTACATTTGAATTGATATATTTTAGTTCAAAATTTGCAAGATAGGAGGAGTTCCACTTATGGTTCCAGCTATTGTTTGAAACTTCATCAACAATGTTACATTTTCTTTTTTCTTTTTAGCAAAGGACAAAGAAGTGGTGGAAGTTGAAAACTATTTGAACATCCATATACTTTATTCAGTATCTGTTAACCACTTAAACTAAAGGTTATTCTTGTTTAATGTGATCAATTTGTATTTGTTTAAGTTGGTTGCTATAATTTATTTCGTCACTTTTTCTTGTTTATTCTAAGAAATTAAATACAAGTCTTAAACCTGATTTTATGTGTAAAAAATTATGGAGGCATGGAGTAACAGTAACATATTCATGCCATATGTTCAAGTAGATGATGCATTTTGCATTGTGAATATCCAGACATCTTTTAGGGCCTTCAATAATTTCACTTTGATTCTTGATAAGAATGGAGTCTTCATTGTGAATCTCAGTACCATCATCTAGTACGTTGACTCTTGTTTTCAATTGTGGTAGGACATAACTCATAGTTCCTTATTATTTTGCACCAAATTTTGTTTATAACTAGAAGACGTGATCTCATAAAATATTATTTTCTTATCTTTATATCTGAATATTGAGTCTAATATTATTATATAATTATATAAAATAAACATACTAATCAATTGAGGATTGCAACTGATACAATCACATTTCAACTGGATTTTGTCAGCAACAAAATATAGCAAGCAATTGAGGTTAGCAACTAATATCCCACATGTCGATTATCAAACATCAGCCAAATGAACAAGTGATAGACAAGTACGCATTAGACATCATCAACAACCCCAAGGTGAATTGATTCGTTTAAGTTATATAAACACTAAAGGGTTAATTAATCTATAAGTCCTTATAGTTTCAACGAATTTTGAATCAGGTCCCTATAGCTTTTTTTCTTTTTATTAGGTCCTTATACTTTTATCTTTTTTTAATTAGGTCCTTATATTTATTTTTCTTTTAATTAAGTCCTTATAATTTCACTAAATTTTTAATCAGATCCATGTAGTTTTAATTTTTATTTATTAATTAAATATAACTTAATTAAATAGATTAATACTGAAATATAAAATATTAATAATTAAATTAAATTAATAATTATGTAATAAAAAAGTAATAGAATTAATTAATTCAGGAATATTTTTTAGAACAATTAATTTTTTTGCTGAAAAAATTAAAATCATTATAATAATTCAATATCTTTAGAATATTATTGTTTATAAACTAATATTAAGTAATATATACTATTTTATGTTTATATAATAGTACTATTAGAATTTATAAAATAAAGAATAAAAAATTCAGGGACTTAATTAAAAATAAGGTGAACTTATAAGGACTTGATAAAAAGAAAAATAAATACAAGGACCTAATTAAAAACAGGTGAAAGTATAAGGACCTGATAAAAAGAAAAAAACTATAAGGACCTGATTCAAATTAGTTGAAACTATAAGGAGCTGTGATTAATTATCCCAACACTAAATATAAAAGTATCAACAATTCACAGGACTAGTTTAATAAGTTACAACTAAACTTCTACAGGAGTACTGCATTGTTAATTAGCAGCGAACACCACTATCAATTTTCTTCAAATTTGAGCATCTCATCTCTCTCTTTTTTGGTTGCTTCACCCTTCGCTAAAAAAAGCGTGCAATGGTAATTCCTATCTTTTTTTTTGAATGGTAAATGGTAATTCCTATCTTTTACTTCCATGCAAGGTGCCCTCTCGCATATGTTGAAATAAAGGTTCTAAATTTAAATGAATAATGTGATGAAGATAAGAAAAACAATGATGATTTTTGGAATGAGAAAGAAGATAAAAAAAATTTGAGGAAACGGTGCCGACAAGGAGGCGGACTTGCAATACGAAAAGAGAAGATAATGCAATCATTAAGCAAACAAGTTCAAAATTGAGGGGGGAATTCCAGAAGGAAAAAGATAATGAAGATGATTTTTGAAATAATGAAGATGGTTAGAGAATGGATCAAATGTTGGGAAGGGAGAAGGACTTACAAGTTGCAGAATTAGGAGAGGCTGAGAAAGGGAGAGAATGATGGAACCTAAAACTAGGAATTATTATAGGTTAAATCATCAAAATGCCCTCTATTATAATTATGAGTTTTAACTCAAAATAAATAAACAAAATAATAAAAATTACATGTTATTTGCCACATAATTTTTAATAAGTTGACATGTCATTCACTCTGTTAGATTTAACGGCCATTTTAACAGTAGGGAGCTCATGGTCACAATCTGAAAGTTAAGCGTGTGAAATTTAAACTTTTAAAATTGAGGGGGTTTTATGCTACTTACCCAAAGTTGAGGGTGCTCATGTGTATTTTGGCCTAATTTTAAATTAAGAGATTGTTGAGATTTACATGGAGATTGTTGAAATGTAAATATTACAAGTTCATGACTATTTTAACTTAAAGATATGAGTAGTCATTCTTGTAAAAATTTTGTCATCCCTCCAATTCTTTTAAAACAGATTCAGTTTCTTTTTTATTTTTTCTTTTTTTACGGATTTTGTTATATCTGTAGTTTTTAATGAACTTTATTAGTCAGAAATGTCGAAATTAGAAGTCACCTTCGGAAGCCACGAGACCTTGAATTTGATTTGTGGAATAACATTTTAATTTTAAAGTCATCATTTTTTTATGTTCATGTAGTGGAATATAATTGGAAAGATGAAAAAACTTTTCTCAGTTTATTGTTTTTATAAATAAACCTGAAAATAGTTAGTCTTTTATATACTAAATATATAGAGCAATAAAGGATTTGTAGTACTCCTATCACATATACCTGTCCTTATTTATATCTCTTTTTATTTTCTGAGTCGTCATTTCATATTCATCGATTCAAATACTCTTTTAAGCTACTTTCAATCACCTCATTTAAACCAAGAAAAGATATGGATTATTTAGAATTATAAGAGTACCAATATCAGTTCTTACTTTTCGTATTAGTATTATTAATATTTCAGTATGCATTTAATTTCAATTTCAGAGAAAGCACAAATTACGAATAGTTTCCTAGAAAAATATATGGACCCATGCAAAA